AATTTGTGGATTTGTTTTGTTTTGAGTGGATGGAGCTTTAAAGCCAAGTTGCTGATTTCATTTTTGAGTCTGGTTTCACATGCAGTTTGCAAGAACATTATCATTTTAATCATTTCCAGCTATGGCTGTTATAGGTGCTTGGCATTTCATTCCTCAGCTTCAATTCCCCATACATTTTCTGATTTTAGATTTCTCTTTTTTTCTGATATTTTCAAATTAACCTATTCAGAGATATTGTTACACACCTCCAAAGCAGGGGAACTTGAACCTGGGACTCCTGGCTCAGAGATAGGGATACTACCACTGTGCTAGAAGAGCCTTTTCTCCATTCTTTTATGAGTTGATTTTATTCTCTTTTAGCCGTTGACTTACTTGTTAGGTGTATTATGCGGGTTACTAGCGATGGATTTCGTTTTTTTTAAAACTGGTGTTTTCACTTGATAGGTTCACAACTAGCTACAATTTATTTTGAATGTTGAGACCAATCATCCATTTTATTATGCAATATATTATACAATCAAAGATAAACTTTTGGATTATCTCGTACAATTGAAAGTAAGCTGCATGGTCAGAGTGAGGGAGACATCACCAGCGTGCGACAGAGTATTGAGAATTTTGGTCAAAATGGGATTTCAGGGTGGGGTGGAAGAGGCACTTTACTTAAGTTTTCCTGCAAGAAATAAAGTCTCCAGAACAAAAGGTGAGCGGGAGAAAAAATAAGGCAAGGATCAAGAAGTGGACTACACTGAAATCAATGGCAGCATGATATCTCAAGAGCAAGGAAAGCAACTCATTGGTGAATAGGTTTGGTCTGTTTTACTGATCTTTAAAGTGGAAGTTTTGTACTTATTTTATGTTTAATTCTGTAGACTTTTGCTTTTTTTCTGTTTCTTCTAAGAAATAGCTTGAATGTTCTAAGTCAGTTCATACTAATTCACAGGATAACAAATAGTTTTTACAGTTACAGTCTGGTAGATCAGAAAGGCCAAGCGGAGGCACATCCTATGGTACATAAGAAGTCATGGGCACATCATGTGGCCCAGACAAACACATCTGCAAGAACTGTCACCAGCTGCACAAGCATCAGCTCCCTGTTTCGGAACTTGAGCACGCCTGGCATCACTGTTGTGCATCTGCAAGTCACAGGACTAGATGGATAGCACGGAAAACAAACAGCAGGTATAAATTTGCCATTCTTGTGTTGGCAGGCTATGACTAGTGAGTACTACAAGGATTAGTACCAGGCTCCCAGCTATTCAAAATATGTTTCAATGATATGGGGGTGAGGACCAAATGTAATATTTCCAAATATGTGATTGCTACAAAGCTAAGTGGGAATGTATGTTGTGAGGAAGATATAATAAGGGTTCAGGAGGATTTGGCCACGCTTAGTGAATAGACAAGAATTTTGCAGATGGAATGTAATGGGAGAAATAAAAGATTATCCACTTTGGTAGAAGAAACAGATGCACAGAGCATTTCTTAGCCTTTATTCTACAAGACTATGAATACAGGAATAGCGAAGTCTTGCTTCAATGAGTTTGGTTAGACCTCACCTGCAGTAGTGTGTGTAGTTTTGGTCTCCTTATCTCAAGAAAGATATTATTGTCATAAATTGAGTGCAACAAAGGTTCACCAGAGATTTTTCTGGGATGTCAGGACTGTCTTACGAAGAACAATTAGGCAAACTGGGCCTTAACTCTCTATAGTTTCAAGAATAAGAGGTGATCTCATTAAAATTTACAAAATGTTTAAAGGGACAGACAGGGTAAACATGAATAGGATGTTTCCCATGTTTGGAGACTCTAGGGAGCATAATTTAAAAATAAGAGTGATGTCACTTAGGTTTGAGATTAGACTTTACTTAAAAGTGTTGGAACTTTTTGGAACCTTTGGAATTCTCTACCATCGAGGGCTGTGGAAGCTCAGTCTTGGAGTATATATAAAATAGAGATCGATAGACTTTTCATTACCAACAGCGTTCAGGGTTATGGGGATGAAGTGAGTAAAAGGCATTGAAGTGTTCAATCAGCCATGATCATACCGAATGGTGGGGCAGTTTCCATGGGCTGGATGTCCTATTCCCTGTTCTTATGTACCTATAATAACCAGCTGCAACCATCGTAAGGAACTATCACGTCCTGTTAATTTTCTTGACTTTCTTTAGACCACTAACATGCCAGATGCACTGTTGAAAAGTCTTATTGATATATCTGGTTTGTCAAAAACTTTTGGCAAAGTTCTACACAAAATCTGTTACTTAAGCTTGAATTTAATTAATACAGTGAATAGTAAGAAATTCATTAAAGAGTAAGAAAAAAACAAGTATTAATAAGATTAAGGAACAGAAAAAAGTATAATTTTTCTCAAGTATCTCCATGTTGTTTCAAAACATATTGAGCCATTTCTAAATTATAACAAGCATTTGCTGTCAATATTGAGGTTAATTAGACATAATTAAGTACAAATGGTACAATAATAAGGGAAGGGGAGACGTAACAGATATTCAGGAGTCGAACACTTATGGTCTGCATTATCAGCTTTTCTTTATCCCTGGCTTACCATTATCCATTCCTTGTGTGCCTAATTGTCTTCTCTCCCTCTCAGCTCTGTCTCCACCTATGGCTTACTGCTGCAGACCCTACCAACACCTCCCGGTGTGTTCAATGTATATACCACCTTTTCTTAGCTATTTTCAGTTCTGAACAAGGGTCACTGGACCCGAAATGGTAATGCTGTTTTTTCTTCACAGATGCCAGACCTGCTGAATCTCTCCAATAATTTCTGTTTTTGTGTCAGATTTCCAGCATCTGCAGTTCCTGGTTTTATTTCAGAAGTTGCTATCTGAATTGCACTGTTCCTCTGTTTGCTGGGTAAACAACATCCTGTACTGGTTCACAATTGAAATCTACTGAATGGTGTGCAAATACTGTATTTGTCTGGTAGAAAAAGAAACTAAACTTGTCATAGATCAAATCACTGATTCAAAGCACCAAACAAGCCTTTTGTAGGGACTGCTCTCTCCACGATTCCCTCGGTTGCCCCATACTCCCCACTAGCCCTACCATCCCCGGCACCATTCCCTGCAACCGCAGGAAGTGCTACACCTGCCCCTACACCTCCCCACTCACCTCCATTCAAGGCACCAAACAACATCCCCAATAGATCAAGATTCAGTAAAAGAAATCATTTAACAATATGGCAAGTGTTAATTAATGCTCATTAACATCTCTGGTACTGGAAATTAACTGGTGTAAATGTGGTCTCATTCTTTCAGGTATTACTTGTTATGGTAATGGTATATTCTTAATTTATTCTTTCGCTTTCTTCTCTCTCTTTCTTATTTCAACCGTTTCTTCTTTATTTCACCTTTAATACCTTATTTCCACTGAATACACTTACTGAAATGCAAACTTCAGCCTTCGTCTTTGTGCTACTAATTCCGCAATCCTTCAATATGCTTGCTTAAGAAGATACCCAGTTACTAGTCCTGCTGGCTCAGACCTCAGATGTCTGGTCTCTCATACTTGAACAGGTTGCACTTAGCACACAAAGTACTCAAAAGCCAAAAGTCTAATTAGATTTTAGTTTTGCAGGTGGTGGTGCTCCCACGTATCTGCTGTTTTTGCCCTCCTAATCAACAAAACAACAATATGTTATATGGGTAGATTAGCAAAGCACATGTTGTCAAATGAATATTGCATATTGTTCTCATACATTTAAAATAAACTTCAATTTGGTCCTAACCATAAAGAATGATTTAAATCTGGGGTGCTGCAGGTAAGAGTAAGAACTTCTAATGTCAAATAATTTATATTTAGACAACTCTGTTATGCCTCATCACAGTAAACTGAGGCCCACTACAATCTCAATACACAAAATTTGCAAGCAAATGCAAACTGGAGAGCAGGGTATAGAGAAAGAGAGTGGGTGAATACACAGCAAAAGATGTATAAAACAAGTTAGATAAAATATTTTTGGCCAAATGACTAGCATAAGAAATTTATATGCCTAATTATTGGATATTGAAGATAAATGGGCCAAATACATACTTCATGAACTACTCCAAACAAGACTGTATAATGGGAATCATAAAGGTGGACAACAGGAGTTGAACGGGACTTAAACATGTCCAGTCACTACAGAACACTACTTTTTAAAAATTTAATCATTCATTTACTAGACGTGGCCATCACTGGCTAGACCAGTATTTATTGCCTATCCTTAGTTGCCCTTGCGACAGTCATGGTGAGGCACCTTCTTGGACAACAGGCCCTGCTGGTATGGTGAGAGTTCCAGGATTGTGACTCAGTGACAAGAACAGAAATATAGTTCCAAGGCAGGATGATGTGTGGCTTGAAAGGGAATTTGCAGGTGGTGGTGCTCCCACGTATCTGCTGTTTTTGCCCTCCTAATCAACAAAACAACAATATGTTATATGGGTAGATTAGCAGAGCACATGTTGTCAAATGAATATTGCATATTGTTCTCATACATTTAAAATAAACTTCAATTTGGTCCTAACCATAAAGAATGATTTAAATCCGGGGTACTGCAGGTAAGAGTAAGAACTTCTAATGTCAAATAATTTATTTACAATGAAACAGCAAAAAAAGTAAAGGAACATACAACATTCAAGGCCAGAAATGAATAGAGATCACTCTAGTTCACTTTTCTGTTTCCTAATATTTGAATTAGGCAATCTATTTCACTTCAAAGTGCTTGTTTCAATTTTACCTTGAAGGTATCTAAGCTAGCATAGTCAAAAACCAAAGCTCTCTGATTTCAATCCAGATGCTGACATTTGTCCATTGATGACCTCTGGTGCTGACCTCAACAAAATTAGTGGGGGAGTAACATCCTTTAACAATGAAGAAATAAATAGTACTTATAGAAAATGTTACCTGATCCTGTAATATTGACTCAAAATACTCATTCTGCACAATTCAAAATTGCAAGAAATGTCTTTTTCTTTAGACTTTTTCTTGAACAATACTTACAGCAAAATTGCTCTGAGCAGCATAATGCAGTGGCGTGGCTCCTTGGCTGTCTGATGGAATAGTGCCAGACTTGTTCCTTTCCAGTAGAAGGTGTCCAATTTGAGCATGACCTTAACGCAGGTATAAAATATATGTTTAAAATACAAACACCTGGAAATAACAATGTACAGTCAACCAGAAATGTAAAGCTTCTAGGTTATCAAAGTTACTCGTATTGAGTATAAAGCAAAGACATCTGGCTACATTCTGGTTCATTCAAGGTTAAATTGAGGTATTCAAGAGGGAATTAGATTGTTATCTGAAAAGGAAAGATGTGCAGGACTGTGGAAGAAAGTGGGGGAGTGACAAAACATAAATTGCTCCTATGGAGATCCAGTGCAGATGAGACAGGTTAAATGGCCTCCTTCTGTAATGTAATAACTTTGTGATTTCATGACAGAGATATGTAAAGACAAACAGTATTTTTTATTTCAAATATTCAACTTACATAGTTCAAAACTGAAGTAAATTCAAAACAAAGTTGCTACCCAAGTTGATAGGGTTGTTAAGAAGTAGTATGGTGTGTTGCCTTTCATTGGCAGCGAAATTGAGTTTAACAGCTGCGAGGTTATGCTACAGCTCTATAAAACCCTGATTAGACCACACCTGCTGCCTGGACTGAAGGGCAGGTCTGAGGAAAGGTTAAGGGAGCTACAGCTTTTTTCATTGGAGCGAAGAAGGATGAGAGGTGACTTGATAGAGGTGTACAAGATGATGAGAGGCAGAGATAGAGTGGATAGCCAGAGACTTTTTCCCAGGGTGGAAATGACTATTACGAGGGGGCATACTTTTAAGGTGATTGGAGGAAGGTATAGGGGAGATGTCAGAGGTAGGTTCTTTACACAGAGAGTGGTGGGTGCGTGGAATGCGCTGTCGGCGATGGTAGTGGAGTCAGATACATTAGGAAAATTCAAGCGACTCTTGGATAGGCACATGGATGATAGTAAAATGTAGGGTATGCACAGTAGTTTGATCTTAGAGTAGGATAATAGGTTGGCACAACATCATGGGCTGAAGGGCCTATACCGTGCCGTACTGTTCTACGTTCTATGAAACATTAAGCATTTTTTAAAATAATTTTGTCAGCAAAAAGTATTACACAGTAACTAGTTAATATATATTGGATGCAACTACCTAAGCAATGTAACTGTAAACATTTTTACATGTGAAACTAACTTTGGACAAGAACTGCTTTGATGTCTTTTTGGAAAAAAATATAATGACTGAGTCATGAATAATAGATCCCTACAAAGTCTATTCTCAGCCAATTGTCTTGCCTGTCTCAGGGTGGGGAAAAATGGAGGGAGAAATCAACTGTATCTTGCTTTTTTATTCCTCTGCTGTAAATAAATTGGGAAAAGAACAGGAACAGGCTCAAATATAATGTTCCCTAAAATTCAACAGTTTATCAATAACCAGCATTTATGTTTGCATACAAAGAACAGTTATTAGATACAATTCAGGAGTGTACTGGCTTCCCTAGAACCATGCATCAGCACAAGTCACCAAAAACACACATCAAGGGAGGAGTGGAAACAATTGTTGGCTGGTGGAGTACGCAGAGAGAGATAAAGGTCAGAACCATTCATTCTAACCGGAATTTGTCAATACACGTTAATTATTTGGTCAAAAGTAACAACATCATGAAGGAAATAAATTAAATGCAGGTGCTTGGAGAAGGAACCCACTGAGAATTTCATGAATGAAGAATTTCCTTCATGGATATAACCAAACTTTGTTAATTGCAGAAATAAGATTCTGCAGTAACTCTTACTTGTAATGTCAAATATGATGATAAGCTAAGATGAAACATACTAAAAATGATAAAAAGATTAAAGAGGGGTGACCACAGAATGGTTTGTGTGCTTACCTGTTAACTGTAGCTCCCTTTAATACATCTGTTAATGATGCCTCTTTTTAAATGATGGAGGTGTCATTTAGTAATCTTTGGGTCTGCACAGGTCAGGAGAGGATCTTGAAAATGTGGATTCAATGTTATCTGCATTGTTGAATCACATCAATATTGGTGGATTGTGGGAGATGAAAATTTGTTCTTTAGAGAAAGGGACAATGGCTGATAAAGATTGAGGGAATTGTTATCCTTTCCATCCTTTTTCACTAGAGACTGAGGTGAAAGTGAAGGTAGGACACTTCATTCAAAAAGTTCTCCTCTACAGTTCATACCAACCTATGCTTAAACTTCAAACAAGGTTTGAGGTGAATATGAAGGATTTCAGAGAGGTTCACAGCAAGCTAACACTGAGCTCTCTGAAGGAGAGATCAGCCTCGATAACAGTAGGGCTCTTTGCCAAAGCCCTTCACGAGGGCAAGGATGAATCAGGTGGAAGCATGTAAAGTTCATTCACATGACAAGACACCTACACGAGACAGCTAAAATGGCTAATGTACAGTTAAATGAAAACTCAAACTTAGATGGCAGCTGGTAGGAGATACCATCTGAAATTCTTACAGAACCCCCACATCAAGGTTGAGCAAAGGCTTTCTTGATATGGTCGGAGAATGGTGACAATGGGCTGTTTAGCATGTCCTACTTGTGACAGATTCCAATGCAGTGACAAGAAGGGATGAAAACATTGCCTCCGATTTTCTGGGGCGCAGTAATCATCATCAGATTACTGTTCTGCTTGAACTGTAAACCACGATGAACCTTCTCCCCATTTATCAATGTGTTTGTCTTTCCTGGATATGCAAAATGTAGCGTGTCTTAGAGAGCTCTGACACAGCGCTGTACAGTTGAGTGAAGACAGGTTGCTTCCTCTTCTAACCCCTTTTCATAGCACTAACTGCTGTATGGTAAGTTTGAAAGTGCAGTGTGAACATTAATGAATGTGAGAATGGGTGATTACGTAAATGGGTATTTGGGTGAGGTTAGTGTGTTGAGTGGATAAAATGGCAGGAGGGTAAAATGAAAAGGTGAGTAGGCAGGTTGGAAGATTGGTTTGGAACTAGCTTCTGATGAAGGGTCACTGGACCCAAACTGTTGACTCTGTTTTGTCTCCACAGATGCTGTCAGGCCTGCTGAGTTTCTCTAGCAATTTCTACTTTGTGGAAATTATGGATACTAGCAGATCAGGTCAGGTTAGGGCAGTCGTGCTGGGGTAATCTGAGGGTCAGATGACTAGTTGGTGAGTTATGGAGGCTAATTGGTAGGGTAGTTGGGGAGTCAGGGGATTACAAAGGGGTATAATCAGAAGAAAGAGTTGGGGTGGTCAATGTGAATGATTGGGGATCAGTTCTGAAGTTAACCAGGAGTCAAACTAGGTTCTTTTTCTGTCTACACAGCAATCTGGAAGGTACCACACATTGAAATAAGCAAGCCACTCACAGTTTGGTGAAATCTTGGTGAACTGTAAGATGTAAACTGCCTAAAGAGAAAAAGGAATTATACTCATAAATGTTTTATGTCCACTGGAAATAAAATCTAGAGGGAACAACCATTTGGGCAACTAGCTGAGAGAGCTCATGTCCTTACCTTGTTGGAAGGAATGTGCGCCAAGAAAAGTCAAATTTAAAATCAGCCATGAATATTGCACCATAATTAGAAACACCAGTTTCTGAGATTAGAATCTCAGTTAGCCCAGAATTTAAAACCATGTTCAAGTAAATTTATGTAAATTATGCATAAGCTGTCCAAGAATTGTTGGATACATAATCATAATATGATTGCCAGAAGTGTCCTAAGTGCAATTTTAGGACTAATTACCCAATAATGCTGCCCAGTGTAGAGGAGTTCGAAATAAATTATCATAAGATGTTATATTGCATCCTTCATACAAGGTCAATACATCAACCACAGCATCATTTCCATCAGCAACAGCAAAATGAAGTGGCGTTCGTCCTTCATAGTCCTGCCAGTTCAATAATGATTCAGTAGGAGCAGCTTCCTATCAAGTGGAAAAAATAAGAATGTTATAATATGTACTGATAATATTTTTAAAATTAGTAAACCTTTAAGTAGCACATTTTAGGTAGCACATCTAGCAGCCATAGAGCCACAGAAATGTACAGCACGCAAACAGACCGTTTGGTCTAACTCATCTACGCCAACCAGATATTCTAAATTAATCCAGTTCCATTTGCCAGCATTTGGCCCATTTCTCTCTACACCCTTCCTCTCATACCAGATGCCTTCTAATTGGTACACCACTTCCTCTGCCAGCTCATTCCATACATGCACTACCTTGTGTGTGCAAAGGTTGCCCCTTAGGTACTTTTCAAATCATTTCCCCTCTCACCATAAACCTATGCCCTCTAACTTTAGGCTCCCCTACCCTGGGGAAAAGACCTTGGCTATTCACTCTATCCATGTCTATCATGATTTTATGTAACTCTATAAGGTCACCCCTCAGCCTCCGACACTCCAGGGAAAATAACCCCAAACTATTCAGCCTCTCCCTATAGCTCAAACACTCCAATCCTGGCAACAGCCTTTTAAATCTTTTCAAATTTCACAATATCCCTCCTACACAGGGAGAACAGAATTGAACGCAGTATTCCAAAAGTGGCCTTATCAATCTCCTGTACAGCCGCAACATGACCTCCCAACTCCTATACTCAATGCGCGGACCCATAAAGGCAAGCATACCAAATGCCTTCTTCACTATCCTGTCTACCTGCGACTCCACTTTCAAGGAACTATGAAGCTTTATTCCAAGGTCTCTTTGTTCAGCAACACTCCCCAGGATGTGACCATTAAGTGCTCAGGTCCTGCCCTGATTTGCCTTTCCAAAATGCAGCACCTCATACTAATCGAAATTAAACTCCATCTGCCACTCCTCAGCCCATTGGCCCATCTGATCAAGATCCTCTCCAAATTGTATTCAGTACCAATATTCAGGTAAACGTGACTGTTTCTACGGAGAGTAATGCCACAGTTAAGTCCCTGGCACTGTAAACTCAGATGCAAAAAGGGAAATGAGGTAGACTGGGAAAGCAAGAATGTTAGGGGATTCAACAGTTATAGCAGAAGGGTTATAGGAGAGAGTTATCAAGCAAGTGAGAAAGTTCTGTTGAATAGTGGTGAGTTATAAAACACTTTCTGTAGAGAAGAGTAACCATTAGGTCCAGGTTAAAAGAAAGGTCACAGGATTATGGTTTTATGACTGTTTTAAGGTCCAAGAAAACAAATTCTGGCTAACGTTTTTTTGTTTATTCATTTTATGTGATATGGGCATTGGCTGGATGGCCAGCATTTATTGCCTGTCCCTAGTTGCCCTTGAGAAGGTGGTGGTGAGCTGCCTTCTTAACCTGCAGCAGTCCACCTGCTGTGGGTTGATGTGCAATGCCATTAGGGCGGGAATTCCAGGACTTTGACCCAGTGACAGTGAAGGAACAGCGACATATTTCCAAGTCAGGATGGTGAGTGGCTCGGAGGGGAACTTGAAGGTGGTGGTGTTCTCACGTATCTGATGCCCTTGTTCTTCTAAATGGAAGTGGTCGTGGGTCTGGAAGGTACTATCTGAGGATCTTCAGTGAATCTCTGCAGTGCATCTTGTAGATTGTACACACTGCTGCTACTGAGTGTCGGTGGTGGAGGGAGTGGATGCAATACCAATCAAGTGGGCTGCTTTGTCCTGGATGGTGTCAAGCTTCTTGAGTGCTGTTGGTGCTGCACTCATCCAGGCAAATGGGGAGTATTCCATCACACCCCTGACTTGTGCCTTCTAGATGGTAGACAGGTTTTGGGGAGTTGGGAGGTGAGTTATTCGCCGCAATATTCCTAGCTTCTGACCTGCTCTTATAGCCACTGTGTTTATGTGGTGAGTCCAGATTGAGTTTCTGATCAATGGTTACTCCCAGGATGTTGATAGTGGGGGATTCAGTGATAGTAACACCATTGAATATTAAGGGGTGGTGGTTAGATTGGCTCTTATTGGTGATGGTCCTAGCCTGGCATTTGTGTGGCACAAATGTTACTTGCCACTTGTCAGCCCACACCCGGATATTGTCCAGATCATGTTGCACTTGGACATGGACTGATTGAGTGTCTGAGAAGTCGTGAATGGGCAATCATCGGTGAATGACCCTACTTTTGACCTTCAGATGGAGGGAAGGTCGCTGATGAAGCAGCTGAAGATGGTTGGGCCTAGGATACTATGCTGAGGAACTCCTGCAGAGATGTCCTGGAGCTAAGATGACTGACCTCGAATAACCACGACCATCTTCCAATGTGTCAGGTATGACTTTAAACCACCGGAGAGTTTGCCCCCTGATACGTATTGATTCCAGTTTTGCTAGGGCTCCCTGATGCCATACTTGGTCGAATGCAGTCTTGATGTCAAGGCATGTCACTCTCACCTCACCTCTGGCATTCAGCTCTTTTTGTCAATGTTTGAAGCAAGGCTGTAATGGGGTCAGGGGCTGAGTGGCCCTGGCAGAATCCAAACTGGGCATCACTGAGCAGGTTATTGCTGAGTAGGTTCTGCCTGATAGCACTGTTGATGACACCTTCCATCCACTTCACTGAGGATCGACAGTAGACTGATGGGGCAGTAATTGGCCGGGTTGGATTTGTCCTGCTTTTTACGTACAGGATGTACTTGGGCAATTTTCCACATTACCAGGTAGGTGCCACTGTTGGAACTGTACTGGAACAGCTTGGCTAGGGGAGCAGCAAGTTCTGGAGCACAAGTCTTCAGTACTATTGCTGGAATATTGTCAGGGCCCGTAGCCTTTGCAGTATCCAGTGCCTCCAACTGTTTCTTGCTGTAAGGTAGAGTGAATCGAATTGACTGAAGAGGTATCTGTGATGCTGGGGACCACTGGAGGAGGCCGAGATGGATCATCCACTTGGTACTTCTGGCTGAAGATTGTTGCAAAAGTTTCAGCCTTATCTTTTGTACTGATCCTGGGCTCTTCTATCATTGAGGATGGGGATATTTGTGTGGTCTCCTCCTCCAGTGAGTTGTTTAATCGTCCACCACCATTCACGACCGGATGTGGCAGGACTGCAGGGCTTAGATCTGATCTGTTGGTTGTGAGATCGCTTCGCTCTGTCTATTACTTGCTGTTTAGCATGCAAGTAGTCCTGTTTGGTGGCTTCACCAGGTTGATACCTCATCTTCAGGTATGTCTGGTGTTGCTCTTGGCATGCGCTCCTGCACTCTCCATTGAACCAGGATTGATTCCCTGGCTTAGAGATAGTAAGAACTGCTGGTACTGGAGTCAGAGATAACACAGTGTGGAGCTAGAGGAACACAGCAGGCCAGGCAGCATCAGAGCAGCAGGAAAGCTGACGTTTCGGGTCAGGACCCTTCTTCCGAAATGGGGGATGGGGAAGGGAGCTCAGAGCTAAATAGATAGAGGAGGGGTGGGGCTGGGGAAGGTAGGTGTGATGGTCTTCCCCAGCCCCTTCCCCAGCCACACCGCTCCTCTATCTATTTATTTCAGATCTCCGTTCCCCATCCCCCATTTCTGAGGAAGGGTCCCAACCCGAAACGTCAGGTTTCCTGCTCCTGTGATGCTGCCTGGCTTGCTGTATTCCTCCAGCTCCACACTGCGTTATCCTTGATTCCCTGGCTTCATGGTATTGGTTGAGTGGGGGATATGCTGGGCTACGAGGTTACAGATTGTGCTGGAGTACAATTCTGCTGCTGTTGATGGCCCACAGTGCCTCATGGATACTCAGTCTTGAGTTGCTAGATCTATTCGAAGTCTGTCTCATTTATCACGGTGATAGTGTCACACAACACAATGGAGGTTATTAATATAGAACAGGGAACTGTACAGCACAGGAACGGGCCCTTCAGCCCAATGAACATGATGCCAAATGAAACTAATTGGTTCTTGCCATTGGTCTATATCCCTCCGTTCTTTGCATATTTGTGTGTTTATCTAAACATCCCTTAAATACCCCTATTGTATCTGCCTCTACTACCACCCCTGGCAGTGATTTTCAGACTCCTACCACTCTCTGTGTAAAAAACATGACCCGCACCTCTCCTTTGAAATTTCCCCCACTAACCTTAAATGCATGCCCACTGGTGTTAGAATTATTCTCAATGTGAAGGCGGGACTTCATCTCCACAAGGACTGTGCAGTGGTCACTCTGACCAATATTATCATGGACAGATGCATTTTCAGCTGGCAGATTGGTAAGGATGAGGTCAAGTATGTTTTTCCCTCTTGTTGGTTTGTTCACCACCTGCAGCAGACCCAGTCTAGCAGCTATGTCCTTTAGGACCTGACCAGCTCAGTCAGTAGTACTGTTGCCGTGCCATTCTTGGTGGTGGACATTGAAATGCCCCAGCCAGAATACATTTTGTGCTCTTGGCTATGTTTAACCTGAAGCTACAAGACTTTATGGGGTCCAAAGTCAATGTTGAGGACTCCCAGGGCAACTCCCTCCTAACTGTACACCAGTATGCCTTCACCTCTGCTGGGTCTGTCCTGCCGGTGAGACAGGACATATCCAGGGATGGTGATGGTGGTGTCTGGGACATTGTCTGTAAGGTATGATTCCGTTGAGTATGACTATATCAGGCCGTTGCTTGACTAGTCTGTAAGACAGCTCTCCTAATTTTGGCACTAGCCCCCAGATATCAGTGAGGAAGACTTTGCAGTGTCAAAAGGGCTGTTTCTGCAGTTGTCTTTTCCAGTGCCTAGGTCAATGCCAGGTGATCTGTTCAGTTTCATTTCTTTAATACTTTGTAGCGAATGGTATAACTGAATGGCTTGCTATGTCATTTCAGACAGCAATTGAGAGTTAACTACATTGCTGTGGGTCTGAAGTCACTGGTAGGGATAGCAGTTTCCTTCCCTGAATGGCTTTAGTGAACTAGATGGGTTTTTCTGATAATCAACAATGGATTTATGGTCATCACTGCACTCTTAATTCCAGATTTTTTTTTACTGAATTCAAATTCCACCATCTGCTGTGATGGGATTCAAACGCAGGTGCCTGGAACATTATCTGAGTCTCTGGATTAACAGTCTAGCGGTAATACCACTGGGCCATCACCTCCCCATTTACTTATCGTCTGGGTGCAGGTGATTTTTTTTTAGTTTTTAAAAGTCTTCCTGTGGAGCTAAGAAGAGCAGAAGCGGTCCCTTGGCTTATAGTGTACACTGTTGTCCTTCCTCAAACTCCCTAATGTCCAATTCAGCAAGCAACTCCCATTCTCTTGAATTTATCTGCAAGGTGGAATGCAGTGAGATGATTTCTCTTGTGCACTGAGTTGCCTGTGCAACCCTTCCCAAAGGTACAGGCAAAGTCCAAGGACCAATTTCTGGCAATGTTCTTGGTTTGAGATGAGGCTGGGTCTAGACTCCAACCTAGCTCAAGATGCTTTAAACAGTACAATGCGATTGCTATTAATCTCCTTTTCCAACAGAATCAGTTGGAGAATAGAGATGAACAAAATTAAAGCTAATCCTCTGAAGATTGATCTACTGTCTACGGATAATACAAAGCCACTTAATTCAATTTAATAATTATTTAATTTTGAATTGAACAAAAAGCCCCCTTCCCTGGCATTCCAATTGCTTAATTCAATTTACTGGTTAATTAATTTTTAAAGCATAAAACAATAGTGAATTATTAATAGACTGAAGTTATGATGCAACAATAATACAGCAAAGATACTCCTATTCACTCCACTCCCACACCAATGCAATTTCTATTGTCTTCAGTCATTGCAATAGAGTTTTTATCAACATGCTTACCAGAATGCACTTCACTGTGTGAATGGCTGTAGTGTCTTTGTTACTGGCAGCCCAATGGAGTGGGATTTTGCCTTCAATGTCAGGAATGCCTATATTGGAATCATGTTTTATCAGCAGTTTAACATGTTCTGGATGGTTGTAGTAGGCACTCCAATGTAATGCTGTTTGCTACAAAAATTAAAACAATTAAAAATAAGGCAATTGAGATTACTATTGATACCAGGTCATTGTGTCTTCCTTGTTCAAAAAAATTAAGCCGTCTATATTAGTGTTCTATTATAACAGAGGTGGGTCAAGGCTCCACAGTAAATTGTCAGTCTTAGCTCTTCTGTCATATTAAAACATTGAACAAAGGCCAGGTACTTTTGAGCAAGAAGAGAAAGGTAAAATTTTAAAAATAAATAATTCCAGATGAACCATAATGCACTTTTCATTGACAAAATAAGAATGACATTAGTAGAGTCCTGGGTGTTGGTTAACAGGAAAAATGTAATTCATTAGGTGGATAAGAAGGAAGCAAGAATGAGAAAAAGGTTAGAAAAAATACAACATTTGAAATATTGGGCCAAATCTTCCATGAGTGAAGTCAGATTGCAATTCTGCTTCTTTTAAACATACCCTGCCCAGAGCTCCAAGTTTCTAGTCTGATGTTTCAATTTGGGCTTCTTGAGAAATACACTGTAACTATGCCAGAAGCCTTGCAATGCAGTGCAGCATCAGCACTGGATGACAAACCACATCGCCCTTTTTAAAGCAGTACTGCACATTCTGGGGACTCTGGGTGAGGTGAGTGAGGGGTTGGGACAGCTGGTACGTGTGCTAGCCAGTAGGTAATAGAATAGGATGGCAGATGGGTGAGAACTTAGGTATCAGATATGACAGTGTTGGGGGTAGGGCTACAAATGCATAGGTGAGGGGGTGACAATTAAGTAGGTGAGGCAGAAGGGTAGCAAGTGTGGGTGAGAGAGAATAATTGTTTTGATTATATTCCCATTGCCAAAAGATTTTGCACTTGAGTATATTTAAATGAAATCAGACCACTGATTAGTTTTATGTCAGTACATTTGCATTGCTGTAGCAGCTTTGAATGCAAATAACCTGCTACAAGAAATAAATAAAAATGATCAGCGTGAATAATTATTGTTTACTGCACGTGGTTAGAGGCATAATATTCTGAACTAACAAATTACATTATGTGATGGACTATATTATTTTAAATTTAATTCTGGCAATATTATACTTTCCATAATTTGGGACATCAACATGATAAATATGTTTTACAGTTTTAAATATTTTCCTTGTCTATGATTCCAAACTACATGCATTAAATTTAACTGCATTGTTGCAGTCTATTTAGAATTCTTGGATACATGATTCTGTTCTGTAAGTTGAATCTATCCACATTAGAGAACATTATTCTTTTCATGTGAAATGAGTTTTGCAATGGAGCAGAAAATTACCTTTGTGACACAGCTTGAGCATCTTGGCTATGTTATCCCAATTTGGCCACTGATTTCAGATTTTTAAACAATGATTTGCAGATTCTTATTAAGCAATACTTTTCTGATTTAAAATGCTCTTTAAAACCTACTTTTTTGACCAAGATCTTTTGTGGGATGTGAACATGCTGGCAAGGCTAGTATTTGTTGCTCATGCCCAACTGCCCTTGAGAACGTGGTGGTCAGCTACCTTCTAGCTGCAGTCCATCCGTTACAGATGTAGAGATAAGATTAATGAATATGCAGAAAAGTATCTGGGGTAGGCTCTGAAGTAAGTGTGATCTCAGTTATGTGACAGACTGAATCAGTAAATCATAACTGGAGCAGTTTCATAGAATTGCCTTCTGGTTTCAGCATCCTTCACTTGGCATCTGTGCATGAACTGACCAATCCATGTACAGCAACAGTGAAGGAACGTACTGACTTTCCTGGCTTTTCGGATCGCTGGTCAGAACATGTGTATTTGATAACGAGGTTTTCCTTGGGAGTAAAGTAAGCACTGATGGTAGCTTAGACTGACTGAAAATTTATGAAGATGTCATCTGCATCACGTCTAATAAGGATATCTTCAGCATCAAAGCCTATTGCGTATAGGAAAGCATTGCCATGGAACTGTTGTTGTTTCAAAGGTTACACGGAGGCTGCAAAAATGGCACCTCCTGTAATTCTCATCTATATAGTCGCATTGGTCCTTCAATGGTATCAAAGAACTGCAAAAGAAGGGACTTTCAGCTGTGTGAACATGCTGCCACCTTACAGTACGTTTCCCTTGAGTAAGCCTCAAGATTTCTCTTGAGGTTTATCAAGTTGCTCTGAGAAAAACACCACACCAAAATGAGCTGCAGTAAGTCAACATAAAAGCGAAGGTGGCCATTTGGTTTCAGGACAGACATCAGGCTTGAACACAGTATTGTGACAGATGTAACATCCTGTTCATCCTTAACTTTATCCAACAGCAGGGACAGGATCCTTCCAGGCTCAGTTCCACCGTTAGCTGCCTATACCTGAGAATGGCAGGCAGAGCCAAAGAAAAGTTGACCAAAGCTGTGGAAAAAGCAGGAAACACCATTCTGAAGTCCTGGCATTTTGGTTCAAACACAAGCAACAAAACTGCCTGGCAGGGGGCTGACAATATGCCAAAAGAAAGCCAATTGAAACAACAATGACTAAAGGGTGTGGTAACTGTAGTTAGCAATCTAGAATTCTGGTCTAGTGGGATTTTCCAGAAGCTGCTCTTGCAATAACTTGGTTAAAAGTGTTCTATTGACAAGTTTTACCAGGCTCTCATCAACTAAGGCCATAGGGTGCATTCCTGTCTGGATCACTTTATCACACTCATTAAATCAATGCAAAGGTGAAACTGGACATTTGTTTTGGACAGAAATCAGGCTGGAACACAGTAGATGCTGGAACTGATCTAACATCCAATCCAGTTCCTTCTTAATATATCAAACAACACGGAATCCAAGATAGGGGAACAACAAGATAGCAATCTACGGCAATTTCTCATCAAATGTGCAAAAGTGAACATTACTGATTCTGTCAGAGATGTGAGAATTTCTGGTCAGTTATTTTGCAAGTCAGAGGCTCTGACACTGACTTTAAACCAGATACTGGGGTGACTGTCACATTGTTGATAGACAATTTAGACTGGTTTCAGAGGTTGAACATTCAGCACCCTAATATTAAATTAAATGCCATCAGTGTTATCTGCCCTGAAGTTAAACTTCACTATGATCCTCACATACCACAGACAATACATCAAGAACAGTTTCTACATGGTGCATTATCAGAAATTCTACCTCTTGAGTAAACATGTATCCAATTATGCATTCTAAAGCACATGCATCAGATCTTCAAATAAGACTCTCACGTCACATTGTGCCAAGAGTTTCAGTCACTCTGCCTTGGACTTGGGAAGCTTAAAGCAGAATACTGCTTTGTTATCCTCCAGTAGCCTGATGTTGTTTGCCTGTTCACCCTCACCAAGGTCCTCTATTTGTCACTGGATAAAGTCAAAGACGAACTGGATAGGATGTTACATCTGTCACGGCACCTGACCCGTGTTCAAGCCTGATTACTGTTAACCATTAAGAATTTACAAAATCCCTCAGACTTTTGGATGCTTTTTCAGACAGAGTGTTGATGATTCACAACTGTTCAATATACAGCAAAAGGAATGATGAACAATGGTTATGTCAGTAGTCTGGTCCAGAAGATTAACACTTCAGGACTGATGCTCTGAAAACTTGTGTTTTCAAATAAACCTGTTGGACTATAATCTTGTTTTGTGTGATTTCTAATCTTGTCCAACCCAGTCCAACGCTGACACCTCCAAATCAGAACATTAAGACACATAGGATGCATGGGAGTTGGCAGGTTGGACACAAAATGGGCTCAGCCATAGAAGAAAGAGGGTAGTGTTTTTCTGACTGTACAGTGATGTTCTACAGGAATCAGTGCTGGGACCATTGTTGTTTATATATGAATGATTTGAATGAAAACGTAGGTGGTCTGATTAGTAAGTCTGCAGACACAAAAATTTGTGAAGTTGTGGACAGTGACGAAGGTTGTCAAAGGATACAGCAGGATATAGATCAGTTGGAAATTTGGGCGGAGAAATAGCAGATGGAGTTTAATCCAGACAAGTGTGAGGTGATGTATTTTGGGAGGTCAAAGAGGAAAGTATACAGTGAATGGCAAGATCCCTTAGAAGCATTAACATTACAGAGCGATCTGGAGTACAAGTCCATAGCTTCCTGAAAATGTCAACACAAACGGACAAGGTGGTAAAGAAGGCATACAGCATGCTTGCCTTCATCGGTTGGGGCACTTTAAAGTGGCAAGTCATGTTGCAACAGTACAAACCTTTATTGAGGACACATGTGGAATATTGCATGCAATCCTGGATGCCACACTATAGGAAGGATGTGGAGGCTTTGAGAGGGTGCAAAAGAGGCATACCAGAATGTTGCCTGGATTGGAGTGTATTAGCCATAAAGAGAGGTAGGACAAACTTGGATTGTTTGCACTAGAGCATTAGAGGCTGAGAGCCAACCTGACATAAGTACATAAAATTATGAGGGACATGGATAAGGTAGATAGTTGGACTCTTTTTCCCCAGGGTGGAAATGTAAAATACTAAAGCATAGTTTTAAAGTGAGAGGGGGAAAGTTGAAAGGAATTGTGCGAGGCAAGTTTGTTTTTACACATGGTGGTAGGTGCTTGGAATGCACTGCCAGGGAAGGTGGTAGAAGCAGATACAATAGCAACGTTTAAGAGACATTTAGGCAAACATATTATCAGGCAGGAAAAAGAGGGCTACGGACCATGTATACGCAGATGGGATTAGTTTACAATGCATCATGGTCAGCGTAGACATGGTGGGAAGAACATCCTGTTCCTGTGTGTAGTGTTCTTTGTCCTGTGTTACATTATTGAGTTATTTTGTTGTAGCCGATTTTTGAAATTTTCAAAGACACTTTGTTCAGAAGTCTTCAGAGCCAATAATTACTAAAGTACTAATATTCCTTAAGATACATAGAATCAAAGAATCCCTACAGTGTGGAAAGAGGTCATTTGGCCCATCAAATCTGCACCAACCCTCCAAAGAGTATCCAACCCAGATCCAAGTATATCCCGTAACCCAACATTTACCATGACTAGACCACCTGGCCTACACATTCCTGAACATTATAGGCAACCTACAGAGTCATAGAGTCTTACAGCATGGAGACAGAACTCGTCCATGCCGATTAAGTTTCCCAAACTAAACTAGTCCCAGTTGCCTGAATTTGGCCCATGTCCCCTAAACATTACCTATTCATGTACTTATTTTAAATGTTATAATTGTATTTGCAATTACCACTTCCTCCGGCAGTTCATTCCATTTACGAACCATCCTCTGAGGTGTCCTTGAAATCTTTCTCCACTCACTTTAAAATTGTCCTCTAGTTTTGAACTTCCCAACCCCAGGGAAAAGACTTTTGCTATTCACCTTATCTATGCACATCGCGATTTTATAAACCTCTATAAGGTCACCCCTCAACTTCCTATGCTCCAGGGAAAAAGTCGCAGGCTATCCAGCCTTTCCTCATAACTTACACCATTTCCAATTTAATAATATCCTCCCTATAGCACAGCAACCTTAACTGTACACAGTACTCCAAAAGTGGCCTCACTAACGTCTTGTACAGCTGTAACATGATATCCCGACTCTTATACTCACTGCTCTGACTAATGAAGGCAAGCGTGCCAAATGCGTTCTTTACCACCCTGTCTACCTGTGATGCAACTTTCAACAAACTATATACCTGAACCCCTAGGTCTCTCTGTTCTACAACACTCCCCTGGGCCTTACCATGAACTGTGTAAGTCCTGTCCTTGTTTGTCGTGGGAACGTTCTGAGGAAGGGTCACTAGACCCAAAACGTTAACTGATTTTTCTTCACAGATGCTGCCAGCCTTGCTGAACTTTTCCAGCAACTGCTGTTTTTGTTCCTGATTTACTATATCCATAGTTCTTTTGGTTTTTATTGAGCTAACTGTCTCCTTGTGTAAGTGTGCCAGTGACTCCCAAGTCATCTGAATGTGATTAAATAGCCAATTGATATACAATTAGCAATGGACAATCCACCTAACCTGCACATCTTTGGACAATAGGAGGAAACTGGAGCACCCAGTGCAAACTCCACACAAACAGTCACCCAAGGCTGGAATTGAACCCAGTTCCTTGGTGCTGTGAGGCAGCAGTGTTAACCACTGAGCCACTGGGCCGCCCCAGCATTAAGTTATTTATTGAAATTATTCAAGCGATTAATTTTCTATTTCAAAACCGAAGAGCCTAACAGCTCTTGCCGATAGTGTAAGTTTAGAAAGCTGGGTGAGAGGTCAACAATTCACAAATGTCCTTCTAACATGTATATTTAAACTAAATCAAATTATTTCCTAAGCAACTCTTACAGTACATGACTGTTGTAGCACTCATGATAATATCACTGTTATTCTTGCAAAGATTTTTGTGGAAATTTAATTCCAGCAATAAAAAACTACTTTGTCAATGAAGCGTTGAAACATCAGTCCATTGTACATTCATGTATTTGGGGTTGACCACACAACCTTTTGATTCAAAAAGCAGAATGCTAATTATTAAGAAAATCTTAAAATTTAATAAACTGCATGGTTTACTTCTCTCATTAAAGTTACAATAGGCATGCATACAAGATACATGATGTCACTAAAGAATATGCTTCTGCCATCCAAACAAACAGGGATAGGTGGATGGGATGTCCCACTCTACGTAAGTACAGAACAAAATGAAATTACAAATGACCTTTTGAGTTGGTCTGATTATATAATGTGCTATTGCTGCTCTGAGTCTGCCATGAAAAGGAAATTGGGGCATGGTTAAAAGCAAGAATATGACAGTTGAAATGAGAAAGGTCATAGCACTCATAAAACTCTGTCAAATGCAGAGAACCTGGAATCAGATGGCAAAACATTGATTTGCTATAAATAAATCACAAGGAGAATCTTTGGTGAAACAGAAATTAGAATTATTCAAGAGGAACAAGTTCTTTGGAGCATATTGCTTCATGATAGCATTGTAAACAACATTGTAAATATTAGCTTTTAACACAATTCTTTTGTATAATCTCTAATACCTTGTTTTTATCTTGGGTGTCCACTTCTCCTGGAGCCATAGACTTTAGTAGCAAAGCCAAACACTTCGGACTTTTGTGGCGTGTAGCTAAATGAAGTGGAGTCATTTCCTCAAGATCCTTCTGCATCCAGTTGGCACGTCGACTAAGCAACAGCTTCATGAAGCGGTAATTTCCCTTGAAAAACAGAACAGAAAAGTAAAAAGAAGTTTTATTTCTTGTGGAAATAAAAACATCTGATCTTTGGAATTTCATGGACAGGAGATGCGCCTGCCCCTTACTTGTATGTCTCATCAGCAAAGAGAAGTTGGCAAACACAGCAATGGTACTGTTAGTTAAGATACCATTTATTATGAAACATCCATCTCTTACAAGCAAACACATTCGCTCCTTCAACAGCTTGGCAGAAAAAACATCAAGCTGACCCAACATCTGAAGGATGTGGCAGACATCAGAAAAAAGCTCAAGAGGCTTGTTACCAAACTTATAACAAAACCAAAGAAGCCTCACATTAGTGTCGAAACCTTAATCATGCCTGCATGTAAAAAAAAAGTATGATGTTAGGAGCTGATGCTGCAAAAGAGGTCAACAAAATTCCACTCCATGATAATACAGTTAAATGACAATCTTTTAAGGAGCTACTGACTCATCCGGCTCATGAAGAAAGTAACAAATACCTACTTTAGGGAAAATACCTTACCTGCACCATGTGTTGGAACATATGCAATGACTATGATTGGATACACAATCTGTTTAGTTCACAACCTTCTGATTCATCACAAATGCTGATGTTAAAAGCAAAAGAAGAATTTGTACAACTATAGGTGAATTGCACAATGACGCTAAAGTTTGGAGAGTTGAGTTAGTAGGTGTTCTGGCTGTCCGCGAATCTCTGATGTTCATGGTTATGCTGTACTCTTGCTGTTTGTAACAACATACCTCTGCCAGCTAGCATTTTCAACACTGCCATGCGTGAAAACAACAGGAAGGAGTGCTCGTCAGCGAAGCAAGATTTGCAAGTGGTCCTCTCATCAATTTCTCCCCAGATCAAAAGGCTCTGAGCACACCAGCAGGCCCAGGTTTCCCACAACCCCAGCAAATTGCAATTTACTCCTCTTTGCTCTGATCTATTGTTCATGAATAGTTCAAAATGGTTGCGCTTAGCAGACTTTGAAAACGTGTCTGTGCTCACAGTGGAAGACTGTATTTGTTCCAGTGGATTTCAAACATTAATGCTTTTGATCCTTCTTTAACTTGTTATATGTACTATATTGCAAATCTCTCCGGTAAGGCCATACCCATAGCAAATGCAAGTAAATGTGACATTTATGAGCAATCAATTCAGCTGAACAAAGTGGATAGACCATGGAATTGTTTGTCTCATTGATGTATACCTTGATACCGAAAGGGTTGAGAAACACTGCAATAGCGTACTTGATGGTAAAGAAGTTAGTAATGCGATCACCAACGTCAAGAATCCAATCTGACAAATTACTGTACAGCAACCCACCCTCAATTGTCAGTAAACTGATAGAAGTTGTCATTGACAATCGCTCTTATTCAGAATGAACCTGTTCATTGGTGTTCAGTTTGGTTCTGCAAATGAGCCACTCTGGACCAGGACTCACTACAGCATTGGTCCAAGTATGGACCAAGAATCTAAATTCATGAGGGAAGGTCAGAGTATTGGCCCTCAGCATCAAAGCAGCATTTCCTGAGTGTGATAATACGAGGATCTTGCAAGACTTAAGGCAATTTGAATCAAAGGAGAACTCTCCATTTGTGGAGTTATATACAGTACAACAGATGATAGTTGTGGTTGTTGGTCAACCAGTTCAGTCCCAGGACATCATTTCAGGAGTTTCTCAGGGCAATGTCGTAGGATTAATCACTTTCAGCTATTTCATCTATGATTTCTCTCCATCATAATGTTATTAAAATTTACTCCCCCTCAGGTACTGAAACAGTCAATGTCCATAAGCAGCAAAATTGGACAACATTTAGGCTTGAGTTGACAAGTGACCAGTAATGTTTGTGCCACCAAACTAGCAGGCAATGACCATCCTCAACATGAGAAAAATTAACCATCTGTCTTAACATTCAATAATATAAATGTCACTGAAACCTCCACCAACAACATTCTGTGGACTCCCATTAACCAGAAAATTGACTGGACCAGCCATGTAATAATATGGCCATAGCAGCAGGTCCAGGAAGCAGGAATCTTGCATTGAGTAATCAACCTCTTGATTCCCCAAAGTCAAGCCATTATCTAAAAACATAAGTCAGAAATGTGACAGAATGCTCTCTGCTTGCCTGGAAGAGGGCAAGTCCAACTTCTCATAAGCAGCTTGATATCATACAGGACTAAGGAGTCTGTTTGATCAGTACCCTTTTCCACTGCCTTAAACATTCTCTCCTTCCATTTCGGATGCACAATGCCAGCATTGTGTAGCATCTACACAGGACTGAAGCAACTCACCAAGATTTCTTAGTTAGCATTTTCTCAGCCTGTGACCTCTGTCAGCTAGAGGGTCTAGAACACAGGCACAGAGAAACACGGATACCCGCAAATTCCCTTCCAAGTGACACACCATTCTGACTTAAACCAAACCACCGCTCCTGTACTCTGACAGTTCAAGATGTACTCACCATTACCTTCTCAAGGCAGTTGCCACCATCTGAAGAACTATTAAGGACGGTAATAAATGCTGGCTATGTGAGCACCATTTACAACCCATAAAAAAAAAATTAAAAGGGCTACAATTGTGCAAATTGGCCAAAATAGAAGCAGAACAATCATAAGCACATAATAATTAAATTCTAACAGTGAAAATTATTTAAAATATTCCAGGTAAAATTAACATTTTTTTAGAACAAGAATATTTGCTCCTTTGTTGAATATATGCTCCTCTGTAGCTGATTTCCATCCTGAGGTAATTCTTATTCTGAATAATTGCAAATGCACCAACAACACTTAATGAAGAGATTGGTCACCTTAAATCTTCAATCCTCATTTTGAGAAAATTGCTTCAAATGGAAATGTTTCAGCTTCCCTTTAAGATGTTTTCGGATGAAAATGTATCTTTTTAATTCACTATTGTGGTGGAGGAATAATACCCATAAATGCAAGCAGCAAAGACTGGCAATTACATCAGACAATGTGTCATCTGAATATAATGCTTTCCCTTATGTTATTGTCAAAATCACCATGACTACATCATAACTATTTATGGTTCAACATATCACAAAACTATGTATGGATTCTGATTCTTACCCTCTTCTGAACACAATTATCTATCTCTATATGCTGCTAATATATTTGCACCTGTATTAAATTATCAACTTAGTGTTACAAAAGACATTGCATTGTACACTCTGCAATCACTGAAATCACATTATCTTCTGTCAGTTTTTAAAATTAATGAAATACAGTGCAGCAAGCTGGAAAAATTATATTACATTTCTAATTCAAAAGAAAAAGCTTAAGATATGCACCTTTATGGCCCTGTAAAGTAATTGTAATCCTGTGTGTAGATATAATGGAAACAATCAAAAATTGCTCTTTTAATAGCCTCCTGGAGGATATTGTTCTCTTTCAGCAGCCTGTACTCATAGGGCAGATTATTTCACTTATATAGAAAGACTGAATAGAGTTTTTACAAAGTCACTGAACAAACAGGAACACTAATGGTAATCACCTTTGATTATTTAATTTGCTACAAAACACCTGCAGAAAACTAAAAATCAAGGTTTAGTTTGAAAATGGAAATATTGATACATCTCTACAAGTTCATTTCCTCCTGTCTAGAATCACTTATAGTCAGAATTGAAAAATAAAACATTGCAAAGAACCCAGAAATAAAGAGTGTGAACATGAAGGAATTTGGAATCAAAGAATATGTGCATGCGCGAGTACTTGATGCATTGGTATTATGCAACAAGTTAGGATTAATTAATGATCTCACAGTGAAGGCGTCCCTAGACAGTAGCGATCATAACATGATTAAATTTTACATTCAGTAAAACAACATTTATATATTTAAATAAGAACAATTTTTAGGGCATAAAAGCAGAGCTGGCTACAGTGAATTGGCAAATTAGGTTAAAGGAAAGGTTAATAGAGATGCAACGGTAGACATTTAAAGGAATATTACAAAGTACAGACATTACAAAGAGTTATAAAAATTCCAAGGGAATATAATTGTGCACAGACAGGTGGAAAGACAAACAATTGAGAAAATATAAAAACAACAAAGAATGACCAAAAAATTAACAAGGAAAAAAAATTAGTCGTGAAAAATTACAGTCCAAACTGCAGCTAGCCAGAAATATTAAAAAAAAATATTTAAAGAAGAAATGAATTACAAAGTGAGCATCAGTCCTATCATCTGTCACAGGGAACATGCTGCAAGTAACTCTTAAATCCATTATAGCAGTTCAAGATAATCAGACAGAGTCAAAAACGATTTTGTGAAATAGAGATCATGGTTAACCAATCTACTAGAATTCTGCCTGACAACATCCCACTGATTGGTTAAACTGTAAAGTGTTAAAAAGCTGTCAGTGCCAGATATAGCAGAGAGAGAAAGAGACTTCCACAGCCTGCAGAGGGAAAACGTCAATCTTTCCTTCTCCATGTGGATAAAAGAGTGAAAAACCAGAAAGCTCAAAAGAAAGAATTCTAAAACAAGCAAAGGCCAGGTCCAGCTGAACAACCCTTGAATCAGAGAAGGATCATTACCCCCAAACAGCAGCATGTCCAAAAGGCTGTAAGAAAATAATTTTCCAGCTGATGGTCTGGAGTTTTGATCTAAATCTTGTTTACCATGTCTATATTTTTTTTCCACCCATAGTATGGGTGTTAAGCCGTTTGTTATCTGTATTGATTGTGTTTCAGCATGCATTTGGGTGTGTAGTATGAAGGAATGTAGTTTAAGTTGCACAGCATTAATTAGAAATGCTTTCTTTTTTCCGTTCATATTAAAGGTGTGAATTATAGTAGTTATTTTTCTGCTACTTATTAATCCTGGCTTGAATTGCTTTTGTCCTGAATAGCAGTCAGTCAGTCAGGTAAATTGGTCATCTTGATGGATTCATTGAGATTGTACATGTCTAGAAATTTCTTATGGCTTATGAAACAGCGAGGCAAGATTATCAGTGTCCTCTTCCTA